ATTAATTTTTTAAAAAGTATTGAAAGTATACCCAAAGGAACGTCATCGGGTTTATATATATATATATATATATATATATATAAGTCATTTGATTGGTTGGCAGTGAGAAGAAGATCGAATACCGTCCAGAAATTTCATATTTATCTAATATATTTTGTGGTTATACCAGTGACCAGTTTGGGATGTGAAAAAAGTTTTTCCAAAATGTCTATAGTAAAAACAAAATTAAGAAACACCATGGCACACAAGAAAGGCTCAATGCTTTATTGATTTTTATTTATTGAACAGGAGCTTTTGAGCAATATTCATGTTGAAAAAGTTATTGATGGTTTAAAAAATGTCCCAACAAAAAGAAGACATGTTCTTTGAAATATGCCTTATACCCTTATAATATTATAAAACATAGTTTGCATTGTTTTTATTACTATGTGATGTACTATTTCAAAATTTAGGCGCTGTATATGATATACTGTCTATATATATATATATATATATATATATACATATGTCACGGCTAAAGTTCGAAACATGGTTAAAGTGCAACTATCCGAATATTGTGCACCTTAGCCACACTGGTTAGATAAAATAACAGTGATTATTTTAAGGAATTTCTTACTGGATGACAAAAAAAAATGTCCACGCATTTAAACAAAATTAATAAAATCAACACCAACAAAATAATGAACCTATAGAATAAAAAAAAATTGTCAGTGTTTAATATTCAAATCTTAGAAACTCTAATAATACGATCCAAACTTTTAATGTATATTTAAACAGTGTTCGGAACGTTTAATTAAAAATGGAACTCCTACACGTTCATGTTCAGTGCATAAAAAAGGAACTCGTTCACGTTCAAGTAAATTTTTTTAAAGCGTACACGTTATATAGCGTTCAAGTTTTTCAAAAGACCTTCCAAAACAAAGTATTAAGAACAATATGTGGCCGTATATAATGATGTATGATGTATCCAATTGCTAGAGTAGGATGAAAAATAGAGAGTTAAGTACAAAAATACCCGTGATAACAAGTTACAAAAAAGGACAAAGAACAAGGAACCATTTTAATGGTTCGGTCATGTTAAATGGAGAGAAGCGACAAGCGAAACTAGACCAACCATGGATTGGTAACCAGAAAGAAAGAGACAAAGGGAAGGCAAAAAAAACGCTGGATAGATGGCAAAAAACAAAGACTAGAGAGACTAGATATTGCGAATTAGGAAGAGTTGATTAAGGATCGTGGAAGTTGGAGAGCTTTGACAGAGGCGGAGAAAACTCTTACAGAGTCATGAAACCATTTGAGTATGATGATGAAATAAATTTGAACGTCCCAAAAACTGTTCAAATTTATTAAAAATATAATCATTGTTCATATTCACGTTCAACTTTAAAAAGCGAGTAACGTTCGTGTATCCGTTACAAAATATAAATGTGAACACGTAAACGTTATGTTTCAACTTCAAATCATAAAGGAAATAATAAACAAGTTACAAAACTAAGCATAATGAAAACAATAATAAATATAATTTTAAAATAATTACAAATATCTTAAGTTTTACCAAAACAACGTTGTTGCCCAGATATTAAATATATTATTTTCTAGGCAACAAAAAATATTTACTAGGCCATATTTATGTTGCCCAATATATTACTTAAAATATGCAATGTAAATAATTATCATTTAAAATCATAGTTTTGTACACATTATCTGACTAAAGTAACTATAGTCATCGTGTTATGGCTAAAGTAAAACATTATTAATAAATTCATAATTATATTTTATTTCAATAAAATTAATTAATATAAGTTAACAATTAAATAATAATAAACTCAGCGTTGTGCGTGTAAATCAAATTGCAAAACAAATAAATGCAAATGCAAAACATCGGGTGTTCTATGCAATTTAAAATGTCATCAAAGTTTACTGTGTAAATAAATAATAATAAAAAAGCATTATATAATAAATAGTATTAATAATATCTGATAAAAGTAAATTTAATATTGCATCAAATGTAGTTAATTAATATTTAATTTTTAACTTATATGCCATAAAACGATGGTTAAAATTGCTTTAGTCGGTTAATATGTACAAAACTATGATTTTAAATGTTAATTGTTTATTGTTAAACAATTGCAACCCCGCCACAAAAATTACTGTATTGGGTGTAAAGTGTCTTTTTTGGTTCATTAGGTTCATTAGCATAGCGCTGGTCATTAGCTAAACTACCGTTGTGGATGAAGTCTAGTGACGCCTATGATTATAATTTGGATACGATAAATTAATAGTAATAATCACAATAATGGCCTCGCGTGTATTACACATTGAATTTGCAAAATATGTGTAATACACATAATAATACACTAAAATTATACACTAAAATATATAATAATAATTAAATCGACTTCAAAGAATACATACACATAAATATACTCGTATAACTTACTGTTACTTATACAACTTAAAATTAACACACGCAAAGTTTATTGTATTTCTCTTTGCGGGTACGTTAATTAATTCAACTAAATTCGGTTGTATAATGTACATTTATTCAAGACCGTATCTAGGGGGGTCCAGGGTGTCTAGACCCCCCGAAATTTCTTCAATATTTTATGAATGTTTAAAATACTTATTTATTTTTAATACCAATATAAATATTTTCAGTCAAAAATAACTTAAGCTCCAATTAATTAATCATTGACTGCTTTTAATTTTATATTATAATATCATATGAAAATATATTAATTTTAATAAAGAAGATTAAATCTTTTTCTGTTTTATTTTTAACCAAATATCAAAAGTTAAAATCTAAATTCAATAAAATTACAATATACATGTTTTGGAGTCCTCCCGAAAAAAATTTCTAGATACGGCTTTGCATTTATTATAGATTATATTATACTGGATAAACACTATTGTAAAATTCAACATACATTTTGATGTATTAATATGTATGGTATATTTATTTATGTGTTTGCATGTCATTATTCAACGTATGATCGTTTTCGCATTAAAATATCAACCCATGGTGGCCCAAAAATTAACTCTAAACGAGGTACACATTTTTTTCGAGCAATATTTTTATCAATAATGTAACAGTTGTAAATCCATTGCCATTTACCATTTGCCACTTAATTTATCAATTAAAAATGTTTACAGAAAGTTTTATCGGTTTATAAAAAAATGTGAATTAAATAAAACAATTAATATTGATATAGTGCAATCGATATAGGTTGGTACACATTTTGTAAGAGTATTATTTTTATTTGTTTTACCATAGGATATGATCACAGGACCATAATATAGACGGTACTGTACAGTGAAACACAAACTTTCCATGAATGATATAAATATATTTAAAACACTTTTATGTTTTTAGGGTTAAAACGTTTTGTAGTTTTCGTTATTAATGCCAAGACTTTAAACAACTATAAAATTCATTAAAAAGTTTGTTGTTGTTATAACGATGTACTAATTATTATTGGGTTTTATTTTGTAAAACTTTTAATCGAAAAATTTCATTCATAATTACAAAATTAAAACTGTAATATACATTTATCGAACTTATTAGCATTTATCAAAGCTCTATTAGTAAAAATTAAATTATTTATTTCCACGTCCAACGTAACATATTTTCAATACAATAAATGGTAACATGTTGAATAAATATTTACAAGAGAGACAATTATATGATAACGTAATATGATAAATTGCGTAGTTTTATTTTAAAATGTCCCATTTTATACCTACCCTCGTGAAATGAAACCATTAGTTTTTACATAAATCTCAAAATATTATTTTTAAACAAAGAACGGTTAAGCTTAGATAATTAATCATTGCGATTATTTGAAAGTTCTTAAACGTCAGCATTTAAAAACTCGACAGGAATTAATCAAAGTGAATAATGAAAATGATTTATCGACATTTTACCGAAATTATTCGTTGAACGTATGATTTTAAAACTCGCAACAGTAAATCTCATTGAAGATTTTACCTCACATATTTTTATACAACAGTTAAACCATATTTTCAAAATATAAATTTCTCCAAGACGCTTATCAGCTATCTCAATCAATTAATATATCAGACGCTATGTACCTTTTAATATCGATCACACTCGAACGAGAATCCAAATCGATCGTAACTAAATCTTAATAAAATATCAACAAATAATCGCAAAACGATGTACGTGTATAAGCCACCGCCTTGTCTTGTATTACGTACCAATACAATAATATATTGAACGTTATTATCATCTACGTAAATAATATTATATTTATAACGAATATTTTCACACAGAAAAATTTGTTTAAAACAAATTAATGTACACACACACGCATATACAGTTAGACGAGACCACGTTTCGTGTATTTGCATCATGTAATCATACGGTTTATAAATATTTCGATTATTTTTCTTAATAATTAACCTTTAAGACTCCTGGTAGGCATTTCGTAACGGCGTTTCGATTTTTAAACTCGAATGAGAGAATGCACTGTTTGAAATTCACGAAGCAAGCCCGTCGGCCCAGTGTTTATTTCAGGTGGGTGACCGGGGGGGGATACCCCCCGGAGAAAAATGTATACCCCCCGAAAAAAAGTATGACATTATTACGTAATTAGTATATTATGGTGCGATTATATATAAAACGAGTTATCAATGAATTGTCAGTTATTTCATGCGAAGATGATATAATAAATAAATATTTAATATAATAATATCTTGGGTATTACTATTTCGTACATCAATATAGTCAATTAATGTATACCGATAATAATCGTAATCTATATATTATTAAATTGTTCGTCAATATAATCGATTTTAAATAAGTACCTATCGCATGTGGGTAATTTTTAAAACGTGCTGTTGTCTGTCGACTGTCAGTATAGTGGATTACGCATTTAAGACTACGTCAAACTGCATTTGGTTGATTTATATTGTTTTTGGTTATTTTTCAATGCATTTTGGTTGGTAATTAAACTTTTAACCAACAGTTAACTTCCAATATGTCAAAACGAAAAAATAATCCTATATTAGATATGTATTGGAAAAAACAGGACAACGTTGATGATCCACCAGTTATACCTTCACCGGCTTCACCCACTGAAATAATTGAAGATCAAGAAGATCAAAATATTCGTAAAGTATTAAAAAATTATTCTTATCAAAAAAATTGGGAAAAATCATTTAACTGGCTATATTATAATATTAAAAAGGGTGGGGCTTTTTGTAAGGTATGTGAAAAATTTCTTAGTAGTAATCATAGTGCTTTACAAAAATCAAAAGGTATTTTTATATGTACCCCATTTATAAATTATCGAAAAGCTACTGGTAAAACTGGTAAACTCTTAAAACATGCTAATTCAGAAAATCATGCTAAAGCTTTAGCTTTGAATGAATTATTTTTACATGGAAAAAATGAACCTATACATACACAAATGATCCAACAAAGTAATTCAGAAAAATTACAAAATAGAATTAATTTTTCTACTTTTGTGCATAGTGTTTATTTTTTGGCAAAAGAAGAGATTCCTCATACTACTAAATATGAACCATTATTAAATAAAGTAGTGCTAAAACAAAATCAATCTTTACTTGAGTGGATGCAAAAACAAAGTGATAGGTCGAATTACATGAGTAAAAATACAGCTATTGAAATATTAAATTGTATTGACACTGTTTTTGAAACTCGTGATTCAAATGAATTAAAAAATAAATACTTATCATTAATGGCTGACGAGTCAACAAATATTAAAAACATTTGTGAAATGACAATAATTATTCGTTTTGTAAAAGATTGTGGTGAAATTAGAGAATTATTTTTATGCATTTTAGAATTATCTGGTACAAATGCGGAAACTATAACAGAAACTATTGATCGAGAATTAAAAAAAAGAGAACTTGATTATTCAAAATGAATAAGTCTTGGTTTTGATGGTGCTGCAAATTTTTTTGGTAGTATAACTGGAGTACGAAAAAGACATAGCACATAGAGAAATACCATACATTCATTGTAGAGCTCATTTATTATCATTAGCATTAACTTCAGTTCGTAATAAATATGTTTCAATTAAACGAACCCTCCAAGTTGTTAAAGATATTTATAAATTATTTCATAAATCTGCTAAACGTGAAAAAATATTTCATGATATTCAAGAAGCTATAAATGAAAAAAAAATTGAAAATACCGGAAAATATTGAACACGTTGGTTAAGTAATCATCGATCAATTTATGCAGTCAAAGAGTGTTATAAATCAATTATTTTGGCATGTGAGCATATACACACTGACGGAGCAGATCTTTCTTCACTAGCAGGAGGTATTCTGCTAGAAATCACTCAGTCAAGTTTTTTAATCACATTAGTTGTCCTAGATGAGGCTTTAGGCGCAGTCAATAATTTAAGCAAAATCTTACAAAAAGAAAACCTACAGCTATCATTAGTACCAGTTTTAATTTCTTCTTCGATTGATTATCTTAAAAATTTCTCGGCCCAATGTTCATCAAATTACGAGAATAATTCAATCCATAAATGTATAAATACATTAAAAAAAAAATGTTAGTAATTCACGAAAAATAGTTGAAAATGAAAATAAAATAAAAAGTCTAAAAGAAGCTAAAAAAATTTGTTGATACAATGATAGAACAAATGCAATTACGTTTTAATGAAAAATCACTAGAAATAATTAAATTAAGCGCTTTATTTGAATCATTTGAATCTTTAATTACAATCACTGAAGATGTATTGAAAATATGTTTATATTTTCCTAATCTTGAACCAGCCGATGTTTGGATAGACTTGAATTCATTTAAGTATGTTGCAAATAGTTTGGTAGATGAAAACGTTAACAATCCACTTTTATATATTTATAAAGCAAATTTTGGGTATAAAAATTTGAAAAAACTTGCTGAATGTTTAATGTGTGTACCAGTTTCAACGGCCACTGCGAAGCGCTCTTTCAGTACAATGAATAGGATTATAAACAAAATAAGAAATAGAATGGGACAAGAAACTTTGCAATCCTGCATGAAAATTAGCACAGAAGGACCCTCAGAACTCGATAAAGATACTGTAAATGAGGTAATTAATTTGTATGCATGTCAAAAACAGCGCCGGATTCGTTTAATTTAATTTAATAAACATAATAAGTATTAAAATGTATATGACTTAAGCTCATATTGGTGTATTATTAATAATATAGTATAATGTATAAGTAATGTATGCATAGTAAATGTGTGTTATATTTTTTTTTCCATATAATTAATCAAAATTAGATTATTAATAATTTATGTATTCTTAGAAAAAAAATAATACCTTAATAACTTAAATTATTAAGTATCAATCTGATACCAATAAATTGAGCTTAAAATAATATTTTTACTTCTCTTAATTATTTACTTCTAAGACATACCCCCTTGAAAATGTACGATACCCTCCCGGGATAGAAGGTCTGAAATAAACACTGCGTTGGCCGATAAACTTGTAAAAATTATAAAACACCAAAAAGTTGGCGTAACAGACGGAGATGGTCCGAAAACATCAGAACTCCGTCTTCGTTGGAGTAACGTTTTCAAGTAATTATTTGCTGGAATATGCAAAAGCGAATGGCCCGCGCACAGGTAGTCTTGCGATGGAATACGATCGGACTACGTGTGATGGACATAATACATAAATAAATAATATAATAAGAATTATAAATATAATTGATATAATATTATTTTATAATAGTTCTATATTTAAAATATATGATTGTAAAATAACATTTAATTGACACAAATCCATAGATGAGTGATAATATAACAATAATAACTGATAAACCAGCTGTTTATACGACAATCCGTCGTATAAATATTTCGGAACGTCTTAAAAGAACAAAGGACTCTATCCTCAGTATAAAAATCAACAAATTTCTTCTACTAACCAGCGGGCTTTTATTTTCACGTTAGAGGGCACGCTAAAGGACCTAGTCCGATAGATCAAATCCGTCGAGGACCTAAGGATTTACTCCATCAGAGCAAGTATATCAGAAAACCGAGTGGGTTTCATACACGAGTGGTGTATGAATAGCAATGCGTTTATGGTACAATACGCGAGCGAACGGCACAACCCTTGATCGGAGCAATTGCGAAAACGTGGGCAAACTGGTTTAAGTAAATTTGTATCACATCGCGGAAATCACATTTCACAACCCCCCCCCCCCTAACAAAAGCGGTTTAAAATTTTTTGGTCAATGGTTCAAGCATAGTTAAGCATACCTACCCACCCACCTACCGAAAAGTCATATTAGATACAAAAACTTACCTGATTTTTGTTAAATTACCAATTTCCTATTACCTACCACTGCCAGATGCCAAGACCGAGTATCCATTTATGACACCCACCCCAAATTTGTTGGTAGTTCAGTGAACCATAAAATTCACGATCAAGCCGTCTTTGCACCCCACCCCCGGAATGTACGCGCCCCCGGCGTGGGAAACCGATGCTACCCCCGTCACTGGCCCACCCGCACACCGTTCCTCGGACGCATCGTCGACACAGGTGAGCGAGAAACGCGCGTTATTAATATCTTTACCGGCAACCGGCAGGTGATGCGGTGCACAACTATTGTTGCAACGGATCGGTACGGTAATGCTGTAAGACCGGTAGGTAACGTGCATAGGAGACCTTTTAGGTCTGGTTGTTGCGTACGCATTGTGTGACGCACAATGGCCCAGGATCGTCAGCGTTCGGTTCGGTCTCGAACGCATGTACGGAAGGATAGTAGTAGAAATAGAGGCTTCTGGGCCAACCTCAACCTCAGCTGTATTTTTTTAATTTTTTTCCGTTATCGTTTAAGTAACCTGCTCTTTCTTTTCTCCGACTGGTTTTCCTCAACTGCAATTCCCCTTGTACGTACCCTCGTGCACATACCGAAGCGCAATTTTTGAAATTTAAAATGTTATTATAAGACATCATAAATGTTATATTACTTGAAATTATGATATGCGTGTGAGGGTAATTCTAAGGTGAAGTGTAGTTGGGTGAAAATAATCGGAGAGAAAAAAAATAGTAGGTTACGTAAACGATAACGGAAAAAAACAGCTGAGATTGAGGCTGGTCCCTAAGCGTCCGTCTCTATCTACCTGCCTTGAAAACGACCTGAAACGATTCGTTAATATTTTGCAAAACGAACGACAACGCCGTTGTAATGGCATCCATGTTCTTCGGTCCGGCTTTCAAGCCGACCGCATATAATTTCGGCCGCAGGCTCAGATCGCTAATTTTTATTTAATTTTTTTGTTTTTGAAACACACGATGCGTGTTACGGATTTCACACAGTTGGTCGGGGGCGTAGATGGATGTGTTCTCGGCGGTTGAAAATCGAACGCGAACCGGATGCACGTTTGGTACGAATACGATCGACGACGACGTGCGCTCACGCGTACGATTTGTTCGGGTCACGGTCCGCGCGGACAATCACTTTTGAATCCGTCACCGTCATCGTGTACAATACGAGAACGTTGGTTGTGCTCATTGCGTCGGTCCTCGGCGACCTGCAGCGCTTCCTCCGCCTGCAGAAAATCCCGACGCAGATGTTGTTCGCACATCGAAAGATAAAAACGCCAAATGCAATGCGCCAAGGCCTTGGATAGCAAAACATTTTTTTTTTTTTTTGGCGTGGAGTTTAGAGAGTAAATTTGTTTTTTGACTGGCAAATTTTAAAATTTCAAACGTGGCGGGCAGTAACAAATGATTAAATTATATTTTACCAAAAATGTCGAAGGGAATATCCCTCCCTCATCTGGATATAGTCTTGATGGGCACCGGGCCCCGGAACGTATACACCGCGGTCAAATATACCCTACGCGAACGCGTTTGAATGTTTCGTACAAAAACGATGTATATTTTACTAATGCAAACCGATTCTACGATGTGCCTTCAGCGCAACCCATTCAAAACGCTCTAGCGATTTCCCGCTCAACACGTTAATTTTAACCGATCCCTATGCGACCGATTTCAACGGGTTCTGCAATGGATTTTTTTTTTACAATTTCTTTTCGGTAAGTTTATCCGACGGAAAACGATTTTTGAATCGAAAACTTACCCCGGTTTTGTAGTACGCAAAGTTTTCGTTGCCAAATCGCATCGATTACAAATACGAAAAAAAATTTATCGAATCGCATAACAATGCGTACGACGAACATACCGCGTGGGTGTACGAGTATTTTAAATTTTTTCGCGCTTCGGAGATAACGACGTACTACGGTTGTATTGGATTACGAACAATACATACATAACAAAAAATAACAATCCGACATCCGTCGGAGGAAAAAGAATTAAATCAAAACTATGAGTTTTTTTTTTTTTTTTTAAAGTTAATATTTGGTAACAGTCGAACATACATATAACATTGTTTACGAGTGCGGATCGATTTTCACCAACACGTCAGCACTGCTGTTGGTTTTGTTTTTCAACAGGCACGTATCTAGGTATTTTTTAAAAGGGGTTTGTTAATCAAAATTAATCGACAAAATTGTGTGCAACAAAATAATAACTTTACGTGCATATGCCTTATTATACAAGCGTACAAATACTTAAATATATTTGACATGAATAATCTGTTCATGTGTATTATATTAATGTACGAGAAAGTTTTTAAATATTTCATTAAAATTTCAAATGGATATTTTGCCTGTTATATGTGTATATATTTTAAATCGTGTACGAAACGATATAAAATCACGGCTTAATTGTATTAGATAAAACGGTGTAATGACGCATTATATTACTTGTATCGTAATACGTATATATTTCGTTATGATAAATGTGTTCATCACGGTTCATGATGGATTTTTACCTTTATGAGACTTAAGTATAACATGGTCAAGGAAAGGGGGAGGATGTTACTACTAATCTGTAACACCCCCTCCCTGGCTATG